GTTCCGCGCGCAGGATCGAACCTGGGCCGTCGGATCGCTAGGTATATAGATCGCTCGTGTGGCTTCCCACGTGGTGCCAATGTCAATGTGTTTTGACACGCGACGTGCTCCGGTTCGTTAGAGCTGCTGGCTGGGCCGTCCCACGTGGTTTTGTTTTGCACTTTGACCCCCTGTTTCCAGTTTTTCTTTCAAAAACGTCATCTAAACTCAAATTTTCACTCATTTTTTTAAAAATTATTTTCAATCTTGTCTCTAATTTATTTTTTCTCAAAATTTTAATTAAATAAAAATAAAATAAATTAAATAATTATTCTAATAAAATAATTTAATAAGAAAAAATTATCTCGGGTCACTTTTCATGTAATGACTCTGGAATTCTAAGGGAAATAAATCATAAATTAAGTGCGGAAGCGAAATAATTAGTTAGGGTTTACATTTTTTACATAATAACTTAAAGTACTAAATAGTGTTATGGGAATTACCTTTTTTAAAGAAAATACAAAACTTAAGGAAATAAACGGAAAATTAATAAAACTATTATCCTACTCGCAATCCTTTTGTGGATCGAGCTCTAGATCCTAATCCTCTTGATCTGAAATGATTAAATAAGGAATGAGCTGCACTAGTCTAGTAAGAATATCACGCTACTCACCGACACAGAAATGAAGGTTGGTAGAAAAATAAAAAATAACTAATGGAGCTCTTAATTAAACAAATTCATTTATCATAAACAAAATCTTTTGCTATCTATTTATCGTAGTAAAATTTACAAAATAACTTATAGAGACAATAACATAACACAGATAATCATTTCATATGTAATTGATTTAAATAACAATTTTTCCTTTTTATCAGCGTACTAGTATCCATGGAGGTTTATAGGGATGTCACCACAATGCGAGAACTATTTTCTTTGACATTTCAAATTAACAGACCGTCCCTATACCCCGTTCAGTATGAGCGACAAACTATTAAACCTCAATACCCCATCTGGTATGAGGGTGAAACGGGCTGTTCCCATACCCTGTCCAGTATGAGACAACGCTTATGGTTGGGTTCTCTATGTACCCGGTCTGTCCACTATTTTTTTAGGATATCCAATAAGACTGTCGTTTCATCCATTCACTTAATCACGTAATTTTTCGTTTTTCTTTAATCTTTATTTTTTCTAATTCAACCATAAATATATAGAACAACCAATACATGCATTCAAAGCTATGAAATTAACCAATCAGATATTATTATGCATTCAAACTGTAAAAATAATCAATATAAACAACACTACATAATTACTTGTTCTGACTCCATTAGTAACTCGTAATTAATTATGGATATTTCTAATGTACAAATACAGTATTATTATTAAATTGACTTCTATTTCATAATAGAGAAGAGGTGAGAGATCTTACTCAATTCAATACCCAAAAAATGAAACTTGTTGACTGCGCCTACTGACGGTCACCGAATTTTTTAATTTTTTTTTGAAGATTAAAACGCACTACAAGACCTACCAATATTCCAAAAGACCCAAAAACAGTGTTAGGATCCCTTTTTGGCATATTTCAAAATTCTGGCACAGCAGCTCTGCCGTGCTCCAGCGACGGCATTGCTGCCCGCAGCCGCAGTCCGCCTTGGATTGGCTATTTTCAGCTGTTTTCAACTGAATTTGACCGATTTTGCATCAAT